AAAAAGCCAACAGCTACCCCCCACGTGGGAATAATTTAGAAACAGCCAATAGTGGGGAACAAATTTGCGTGCAAATGGCGGGAACTCCTTTGCACCGGGGTTTTCTCTTTGCAACTGAGAATTGCACTGTGCAAAGAAAGCTCCTCGTGGCGGGAAATAATTCTGCAGTGCCGAAGCACATACAAAATCATACCCTTGGGTTATGACAGTTACATTTGCCCATGAGGCAACAAAGAATTCTTTCCCATTGCTCTAGCCTGCTGAGATTGGCTCTGCTTGCTAGCAGCCCCCTTAGAGTGTACCCACCATTGTTGAAATCCTAGCAGCTCTTGGGTACATCTACACAAGACACTTTACTCAAGATTAGAGCTAATTATTGTGCAGTATGCATCACCCTCTACACATGCAGATGCTTACTGTGCAGTAATTTGCTCTAATCATGAGTAAATTTGCTATCTGTAAATACAAGTAGTTAATTTACTCCCAATTACTTACTGTGCAATAGTGCACATGTAGATGGCTGACTGGGAGCAAATGCGCTCCCAGGCAGCAGGTGGCAAGAGATTGCTCCCTGCCCCCAGGAGCTGCCTGCTGCCGGCTCTGCTACCAGAGCCTGGGTGGAGACAATGTCTGCCTGCCCCAGCAGTAGGGAGCTCCTATCCTCCACTTCAAAATTGCAATTGGGGAATGGGGGTGGGAGATTCTTATCTCCCAGCACCAGCTCCATGGTTGCAGGGCCCAAGCTGGGATATTCTTATCTCCCAGGGCCAGCTCCACAGTTGGGGGTCTGGCACTGGGAGAGTCTTCTCTCCTAGCACCAGCTCCATGGTCGCAGGGCCAGGGATGGGAGATTCTTCTCTCCCCGTGCCAGCCCCACAACCACGGAGCTGGCACTGGGAGAGAAGAATCTCCCATCACTGGCCCTGCAATCGTGATCATGGAGTTGGAGCTGGGAGCTTCCTGCTGCCAGGGCAGGGGGACATTGTCCGTGCCCAGGCTCCAGTGGTGGAGCCTTCCCTGGCAGCAGGCAGCTCCCTGGAGCAGAGAGCAATGTCCCAGCCCCTGCCAAGAGACAGTTGGCTCCTAGCTCCAGACTCCCTGCCATCCCCTGAGCTAGCACCCAGGAGGAGGCTAGAGCTTCCCCTGGCTGGTGCAGGGCTGGCAGGGGTGGGAGCAGATTACTGCCATAAGCTGCAAAGCTGCTTCTGAGTCCTTTACTTGTAAATGTGTGCCCAGGTCAGTTTCCTCTAGCGTAAACTGATCCCGCATCATTTGCACATTTAGCCGTGCCCCGTGTGTGGGAACTCTCTGCTCCTATTCCCCAGTGGCTTCTCAAGGCATGGATGAAGGACACACCACCAGGTCCCTACATCCCTATCAGCTGCTTCAGCAGTGCATAGGGAGGAAGAGACTGCAGGAGCTACAGCTGCACCAAAAAGGTCACCTGTAGCTGCCACATCCTACATCTTCACCTGCCAGCACCTGTCTGCTCAACCTTGCTAGGAGTCTGATACTAACAGGGCACATCTACATGAGATGCTATGGCTCATTGCTACGGCACTGTAGTGTCACCAGGCATGAACCATGATGGCAATACTACTGCACAGTAGCAACGAGCTACTATGCAGTAGCTCATTGCTACTGTGCAATAGCATCTAAAAACACCCATGCTGGGATGGCACTGTACAGTAATGCTGCTTATCGCACATTCATTTAGCATTTGTTTAAGTGAGTACTAATGACTGCACAGTAACAACTGCACAGTCCACTGTTCATGTACATGCAGCCACGGAGATGTTTCACCACTCAGGGGTGACTCACCTCTGCACATGGGTGACTGACTGCTCACATCCTTGCTTGGGAAACTCATGCCTCCCAGCTGTGGGAGACCTCTACCAGTCAGGATAGACTTTCTCACTTCAAGACCCAAAAGGGATTCTATTTCCTAGCTCAGCACCCAGTTCATTACCATATGTGACCTGGCCCCTGCAGTCAGAGGTCCCCACTTAAAACTTTTGGAAGTATACCACTGATTGCAATATCAAGTCATTAATGAGCAAAGGATTATATTTGTAACCTTTCCCTTTTAAATCACCATATTTACAATTTCCTGTTCTCCCTGTAATCATAACCACATGCAATAAAGTATCAGAATGTCAAACCCCAGAGTATTTAGAGAGAAGGCAGGGTAGGGTGGCCCTTTAGACACTAACTATTTCAGATAGGTATAAGCTTTCGTAGGCACCAAGCTATTTCACCAGGGCATGAATGGCGAGAAACAAAATATGCTGCAAGCAGATTGCAGGCTCGTTTGATCTAACATAGACGAACAACGGTGTAGACTCTTAAAGCTCAATTGTTTTCTGATTTCCACCAGTCTTATCCTGGTTCAACTTTACTGACCTCGCTGGTTAGTCTTGAATTACCCCAATACCCTAGTGCTGAGAGGACAATCAGGGCATTAGTCTAATCTAATCTCCTCAAATGCCACACCACAGTTTGTCTGTATGCTGCATATACTGACTGGGAGGGAAATGGGTAGCTGTTTGCTTTTGACTACTGTGTTTCCTGAGAGCTACTCTAAGATGCAGTTTCTCCTTTCTCTTCTATCTTAGCTGTGGCAAAACTGCTAGGGGAATTAGAAAAAAAGACAGGAAGGAGGAATTGCGAAAAAAAAGGAAAGGACTTCCAATTTTATGCAAAGTGTTTCTCATCTTGCTTAGCGTAGACATAACATAATACCAACTTGTAGTATGATAGTAATTAGGATTCCATTAAAAAGAAAAAAAAAATCTTGCTGAGACCCGAAGTCACATCACGACAGTCAAAGTGAAACGTAGCTCCCTAATGTAGCCTTAATTCATTTTATTTTGCAGAGACAGCAAGCTCACCATGTTGCTCAGGGAGTCCCTGGGGAATATGAACTGCCGTACCACTATGATAGCTCACATTTCGGCAGCTGCAGGAAACTATGCTGAAACACTGTCCACCATCCAGATTGCATCCAGAGTCCTGAGGATGAAGAAAAAGAAAACTAAGGTAAGAAGATGTATAACTCTTTGTCTTCTTCTAGTGAGGAAAAAGGAGCCCTTAATGAGATAGGGAGGTCTTAAAGAGCAGCAGATAACAAAATCAATAATCATAATTCCTAAGGGTATGGGCTACATGTATTTTGTGCTAGATGAGTGGTTTAAAGCTTGTAACAGAGACTGAGGGAATAAATGCTTCAACTTGAGATAGAGAAGAGACTTCAAAAAACTATAATAGCTTTCTAAGCTTAATATTTAGAGGTGTGTGTGTCTGGGAAGGCACTTTTTCAGTTAAATTAAAACAGTAATAAATATTACTACTTTTAGAATGAAAGGAAATGAAAATAAATGAAGAATCAGGTTCCCCCATTTTTCCTCATAGACAGATAAGGCACAGAAAGTTTTAACCCACACAGACACACTAGTCCTGCTGTTTCTTCATAAATCTAGTAGAATTTTTTAAAGGAGATTGATGATGGTGATCTCTTTGCTTCTAGGGGCCTACTTCCTTTTATAGCCAAATTATTAACTTGGTTTAACTGGCAAGTTTTCTGACCCTATTTTAAATTGATGGTCTATGGATTACTGTTAAATATGATCTGCAACCAATTCTGTTTGTATCTTGTCATAGCAGTCTGGCCATAGAAAGCACAGGCCAGCTACTACTGCACCAGCTACATGCCTTATCATGATAAAAAAAGGGATTTTCCTTGTCTTGTGTGCCTCATTTGTGTTGTGAATGTGAACTCTTTTCACAACGTAGGCTTATTAGGTAAGGTATTCGAAAATCACCTAGTTATAATGGTCAAAAGAGATCCAGTGAAATGTTCTGACTCAATCATCCATTGGGTTCACTGCAGGTTACGTGGCCTACTGGTTTTCATAAAACACCAAGAGTCAAGACACTTGATTTTTGTGAACACTGCCATTTGTTCACTGCTATTTCCTCTGGTGGCAAGATGGTTAAACTTTGAGTGTCTCAGTTTCCAAATGTTAAAAATCAGAAAGGATAATACCCAATTCCCAAGTTTAAGTACTCTGAGTTAACCAGATGTACAACATAACTAATTTACTTAATTACCTGTCCCCCAAAGGTTGTAATAATGTTTCACATAGTGTGGGAGTAGGTACTTATTAGTTTGCATTAGTATGTTATGTCATGCATTCAAGGCTCAATGGCAGTTGTGATTCTGTTGTAGATGTGCTGTGTGGAAAGTGTCCATAGTGCTGACATTTATTTTCTCACCACAGTACACATCAAGTTCTTCTGGTGGTGAAAGCTCCTGTGAAGAAGGGAGAATGCGGAGACCCACTCAGTTGAGGCCTTTCCACTCTAGAAATGTAGCTGACCCAGATTTTCCTATCCTGCATTTATCAAGTGATCCCGATTATTCTTCCAGCAGCGAACAGTCCTGTGACACTGTGATCTATGTTGGCCCTAATGGCACAGCCCTCTCTGATAAGGAGCTGACAGATAATGAGGGTCCACCAGATTTTGTCCCCATAGTTCCTGCTCTACAGAAAACCAAAAATGATGGCAAGTTGGAGGAAGTAAGTGAGACAGACCCTGGCACATCTGAAAGAGACTGTCTGAAATGCAACACCTTTGCTGAGCTTCAGGAGAGGCTGGACTGCATTGATGGCAGTGAGGAGACCAGCACATTTCCCTTTGAAGAGCTGCCTGCTCAATTTAGCGCAGACCAGGTTTCTAAGTGCCCTCTCCCAGGCCAAGTGGGAGAGCTCAGTCACTTATCTGAATCAGATAAGGAAGACGCCATACCAGACTGTCAGCAATCAGATAAGGAAGCGAGAGAAAATATCAGTGCCACAATCAGCAAGATTCAGAGAAATCCATCCCCTGTTCCTTCTGGAGCTCTTACTAATGTTTCAACTCCTCCTTCTCCTAGGAGTGTCACTGGCAGCTCTTCCCAATTAGCACAGAGCACAAGCCTACAGAGTAGTAGAGAAGGTCTCAACACCTGTGGCTTTGTTGAAGGCAAACCTAGGCCAATGGGTTCACCACGGCTCGGCATTGCAAGCCTCTCCAAGACCTCAGAATACAAGCCACCAACTTCTCCCTCCCAGAGATGCAAGGTCTACACCCAGAAAGGAGTATTGCCCAACTCTGCTCCACCACCCGCACACCTGAACAAGGACTCTGGGATGACATCTAGTGAGTCTTTGTTGCAGCCAGAGATCCGAACCCCTCCGGTGGGAATGAGCCCTCAGATCATGAAAAAGTCAGTGTCCACTAGTAGTGGGGATTTTGGAGAGACTGTTCTTGAAGAAGAACAGCAACAAAACATTGCCCCAGAGTCAAAGAAAGAGATTCTGAGCACCACGATGGTCACGGTACAGCAGCCATTGGAGCTAAATGGAGAGGATGAGCTGGTGTTTACACTTGTTGAAGAACTAACCATCAGTGGGGTCCTTGACAATGGACGCCCAACCAGCATCATCAGCTTTAACAGCGACTGTTCTGTACAGGCTTTGGCCTCTGGGTCTAGGCCAGTTAGTATCATCAGTAGCATCAGCGAAGACCTGGAGTGTTACTCTAATTCAGCTCCTGTTTCTGAGGTCAGCATAACACAGTTCCTGCCACTTCCAAAATTGGGACTAGATGACAAATGCAGGGATGATGGCAGCAGACGATCGTCCATTAGCTCGTGGCTGAGTGAAATGAGCACAGGGAGTGACGGTGAACAATCATGCCACAGTTTCATAGCCCAGGCATGCTATGGGCATGGTGAAGCAATGGCGGATCCCCCGATCTCTGAGTTGTCAAATGCCATACAAAATAGCAGCGTGATTTGTTTAAATGACCAGCAGAATCCAGTGGCCGACAATTTGCTCATACTGTCAGAAATGGGGGAGGAAGCTTTCAATAAAGTGCCACCTATTAAAGGCTGCAAAATATCAGCTCTGGGGAAAACTACTGTCACAATTAAAAACACAGCAAACCTTAGTAGCTGTGAAGGCTACATCCCAATGAAAACCAACATTACTGTTTATCCATGTATTGCTGTTAATTCTTTTAAGGGCCAAGAGACTACTGATGGCCTAACAAGTGTAACTCCAGCCGCTAAAGTTGCTTACCCTCAAGAAGGGAAAGAATCCAGTGAGAGGAAGGATATCACATTTGAAGACCCGTGGCTGAAGAGGGAAGATGATGTAAAAAAAGAAAACAGTGATGAGCCAAGGCCTGAAGTTGGCCTGGGTCCAGCCAAGCCTGAACACAGTAAGCAGCAGAACTCAGATGACAGGTTTAGCAGCAGCAGTGGGGAGACCTCTAGCTCTCCAGGATCTGACAATCTAAAGAGGATTGTGGATGGTTGTGAAATGGCGCTGCCCAGTTCTGCAACCCAGAGCCCTGTTCATTCCTTTGACGGCACAAAGAATGGCAGCCTCCCTCGCGGGCTCCAGAAGAGCAGCAAGCAGGACGAACACTATGGTGCTCTCTCTCACTGTGTTGCTGAGAACAATGGAGTCATTTCTCCTGTTCACCCCCAGTCTTCTAAAGCCACCCTGGAAAGGAAAATTGCTTCCCCCAAGCATTGTGTCCTCACTCGCCCCAAAGGAACCCCTCCACTGCCCCCTGTCAGAAAATCGAGCCTGGATCAGAAGAACAGGGCTAGCCCTCAGCACAGTGCTTGTAGCAGCAGCACTAGTAGCCCATCCAACCAACCAGCCTCTTTTCTAGCCAGCTTCCCTGATGAGGTGAATGGCAAACAGAAGGGCTCTAGCATTGACACCAGTAGCAGCAGCAGTAGCAAGTTATTTAGTGCCAAACTTGAGCAGCTAGCCAGCAGGACCAATTCCCTGGGAAGGTCCACAGTGAGCCACTATGAGTGCTTGTCATTGGAAAGGGCAGAAAGTCTCTCTTCAGTAAGCTCCAAAATGAGCCCTGGAAAAGACAGCACCATGCCTAGGGCTGGACGGAGCCTCAGCCGCAGTGCAGTATCATCGCCGACAAACTCGGGCATTTCCCAGTCTGCAGGTGCCTCACCAAAAGCCAGCCAATCTAAGATATCTGCAGTCAGCAAGCTGCTGTTGGCAAGCCCTAAGGCCCGAAGCCTGTCTGCCTCTGCCACAAAAACACTAAGCTTTTCTACCAAGTCTCTGCCTCAGTCAGTGGGGCAGAGTTCCAGTTTACCTCCCAATGGGAAAAATATGTCTTGGTCGACCCAGTCCCTCAGCAGAAACAGAGGCTCTGGGCTTGCTTCAAAACTGCCCCTCAGAGCTGTCAATGGCCGGATTTCAGAGCTCCTTCAAGGGAGCGCGAGTGCCAGAGGTTTACATTTGCGTGGAAACTCAGACACAGATGAGCGGGGCTGCCTTCATGGAGATGAGAAAACAGCTGTTCACATGCTGCCTTCGCCTTACAGCAAAATCACCCCTCCTCGGAAGCCTCACCGCTGTAGCAGCGGGCACGGAAGTGACAACAGCAGCGTCTTGAGCGGGGAGCTACCACCAGCGATGGGCAAAACAGCCCTGTTCTACCACAGCGGGGGAAGCAGTGGTTATGAGAGCATGATGAGAGACAGCGAAGCCACAGGGAGCGCTTCGTCGGCGCAAGACTCAATGAGCGAGAACAGCAGCTCTGTCAGCGGCAGGTGCCGAAGTCTAAAAAATGCAAAGAAACGATCGAACACAGGTAGGCGTGTGCTTGTGTTCTACAGATTCGGGGATAACCATTGGTGCTGGCTACTCCATAGGAGGCAAGGCAAGTCACGGGGCATTGGCTAGTTAAGGGCAAAGCACAGGTGGTGTGTAATAGCGGAGGTACGGAACAAGAAACAGCTACCGTGCTGGCAGTCTCTGGAGCTTTGAACTTTTTAGATCTTGTTTATGTACAAGTGAAAACCCTATTCAGGTCCACATTTTCTTTGTGAAAACCTCTCCCATGAATAGTTTAGCTTAAATTTGCTTCAGGTTGTTGTTTTCCTTAAAGCAGGAGGATTTTGATTATAGGGATTTTTTTCAATTTTTTTCATTAGTATTTTTGTGATTTAAGGCACAAAAAGATATCCCTGCAAGGCTAACACATGTCAGTAATATTCTACTTTGAGTGATTTTCCTGGTGCTCATGCACCCCTTAAGTGGGAGTTTGGATTTGTTTCGAATAGCAATTTCTGTTACAGTCACACCTGCACCTTTAGCTCTGTGTATAAGGGAAAGGCAGCTACAATTTCAGGTGCATGACAGAATGCAAGTTTGTGTTTGTGCTTTCTGCAACATAGCTTTCCTGCCTCTGGGACAATACACTTTTAACTTGAAATTTTAGTTATTTAGTGTTTTATTCCATTTTCTTTATTTCTGCTCATTGGAGTTGGGGAAACAACAGCAAAGGATTTTGCTTGAGAGCATAGTCTACCCAATACAGTTTACTTTAAATCTTGATTAAAAAACTACATATCATACAATTTAGCTACGCCAATCAGTGATGGATACCCTTACTGCTCAATCTGAAATTGACCACTTGCAGGGCCTAGGAATTAGACAATAGATGGACTTCAAAAAAACTTACAAAGCTTCTTCATGTCTTCAGATCCTTGGGCCCCAGGATAAAGACAAGAAAAAGAAATGAGTCCACAGAATGTATGGAAACAGAGAAGTAGGGCTAGAAGGGAGGTCATATAGTCCAATCCCCTGCCGGAAGCAGGATCATCCTTATCCAAACCATCCTGTACAAACCATAATCAAAACTCTTTGTAAAACTACCATCAACTCTAACACAATACAGACCTAGAACCCTAACCTACAAAAGGTGATGCAAGTGAACCGTGGCAGCCAGCATTCTGGTTCTTTGAAATGTCAGTATATGCTCAAGAGAGCCTGGGTAGAGGGCCATGCTAAGGCAAACTCCCCTTCTCCTCCCCCCAGTCAAAACCAGTCTGACTATGGGGTAAAATTCCTTCCTGACCCCAAATATTGTGATCAGTCAGGTTGACCCTAAGTGGAGGGGCAAGACCTTCTAAGCCAGGAACCTCTGTCTTTGCTCCCAGCAGGAACATTGGCATATCCCAGTTGAAGTCCCCAGCCTTGGCTGTAGCCAACACCCAATGCCTCTGAGGAAGGCTTAAAAACACCCTGACATATGTAGCAGGGGGAGGGAGAGCCAGCAAAGCCCAGAAGCATGGGAACACAGGCATAGCTACGCCTAGATCATCCCCAAACGGTGGCTGTCCATTTTCTTCTTGAACTCCTCCAGTGATGGAGAGTCCACAACTTCCCTGGGGAGTGTATTCCACTGCCTCACTATTCTGAAGTTTTTATCTGAATATCCAATCTAAATATACTTTGCTCCAACTTCAAGCCATTGGTCCATGTCCTTCTCTCTGCAGCAGGGGAGAAACGGTGTTTTCCTTCTTTTTTATGGCAGCCTTTCAAGTATCTGAAGACTGCTATCATGTGCCCTTTTGAGTGCCTTTTCCACAAGCTGGACATACCTAGCTCCTTCAGCCTCTCCTCATATGACTTGCCTCCCAAGCCCTTGATCATTTTTGTTGCCCACTTCTGGAGCCTTTCTAACTTCTCCATGCCCTTTTTAGAATGTGGAGTCCAGAACTGCACACAGTATCCAAGATGAGGCCTAACCAGTGCCAAGCAGAGAGGCACTATCACCTCCCGTGTCTTACACCTAATTCTTCTATTGATGCATCCCAAAACCACATTTGCCTTTTGAGTGGCTGCATCACACTGTTGACTCGTATTGAGTCTGTGATCTACCAAGACTCCCAAATTGTTTTCCATAGTGCTGCCATCCAGCCAGGTGTCAGCCATTTTATATTTGTGTTTCTGATTATTTGTCTCAAGATGTAGCACCTTGTATTTGTCCACATTGAATTTCATCTCGTTAGCTCTAGCCCAACTTTCCAGTCTGTCGAGATCCTTCTGAATTGTGCTCATGTCCTCCAATGTGTTTGCAGTCCTTCCCAGTGTCATGCTCTCTACAGCTTGTTCAAGAAGCTTTCTATGCCAGCATCCAAATCATTAATAAACACATTGAACAACACCAGACCCAAGACAGAATCATGTGGGACTCCACTTGAAGCCTCCTGCCATTCTGACATGGACTCGTTAATAAATACCCTTTACTTGTAGCTATTGAACCTGTTGTCTATCTACCTTATAGTAGTTTTTTCCAGCCTACATTTCTCCAATTTTTTTATGAGAAGGCCACATGGGACCTTGTTAAAAGCCTTGCTGAAGTTCAGATACACTATATCTACAGCTTTCCTTCATCCATCTAAGTGGTTGCTTTGTCAAATAAGGAGATTGGGTTTGTTTGACATGATTTGTTGTCATAAATCCATGCTGGTTGCTTGTGATCAGCCTTTCCTCCTCCGGACACTTTCAAATGGCCTTCTAGGATGTGCACCAGTAATTTCCTGGTATTGAGATAAGGCTAATGGGTCTGTAGTTCCTCGGGTCCTCCTTTTTTGCCTTTTTAAAAGAGGGGTACTACACTGACCCTTTTCCAGTCCTCTGGTACCTGGCCCATCTCCCACGACTTCATGAAAGTCATTGCCAAGGGCTTTGAAATTTCCTCTGCCAGTTCCTTCAGTACCATGGGATGAAGTTCATCCAGCCCAGAACATTGCTATGCTTCAGAATGGTGAAACAGTACTGTTTTGTAATTGTTTCCTGAGCATAATAGCTGCCATCAGCCAGCTTCATGCACATCTCTGAATCTCAGCAATGGTATGATTCGAAATTGTGGGCCTGATGGCAGCTTACACCTATGTCAGATGGCATGGCAGACTTAACCTATGACCTTTTAGAAGTAGGTTGAAATCTGTGTGCCTACCCAACAAGCACTCCACGGATCAACTGGACACAGTTGTCTCAAAAATGCCGTTTTCTTTAAGATGGTGGAGGGATCTGCTACAGGTTTGCAGTAGAGTTACTTTCTCAGTTATCCTGCCTACCAGGAGATGGCTAAACCTGGGAAGGCGAGCTCATCTCAGTGCCACTAAGATTCAGAGCCTGTCCTCTTCCCATACACCATGGTTCCCATAAATGTCCTAGAAATAATGGTAAAGTGGCAAGCCTGCTAGGCTTTCTTGCCTCTTAATTAGGGTGTTACAAGGCAAAAGCTAATTGGCAATACCATGGTGAGACATCACATCAACAGATAAGGAGGAGCAAGCCCTACTTTGTTATGCAAGGAGGTGGTGTGTCTTTCAAACTGGTGAATTTCCAGGGTGACATCACACTGATAGTGTTGCACTTGCCAGGTCTCCAGAATGCTTTGACAAGATCCTTCCTAGAGAACCACAGTGGTCCCATCAGTAACTGTTTCCTGTTTCTGATGTCTTTCACACCTGGGTATTCTGACTGTGGGACTGTTTATGACTTTCCAGAACAAGTGTCAAGCATTTTACTTCAGCAGGGGTATGAGCCAAGCTGGCTGACAGAGGCTTTCCTCTGTATGTAGAACCATAATCCTCAGAGTTGGAAATCCCCAGGAAGCTTAGACAGGGTCTTGGACTTAATCATTTTGTTTGGCCTGCCTAGGGCTGGCCATTCTGATACTCAATCGGGCACAATTCCATCACTTCCTAACCTAATCTCCCAGAACAGGACAGGTGCTGCAACACAAGATGGCCATGACCCACCTGTAAGCCTGATTTGACCAAATGACCCATTTTTAGAGAAATTGCTCTGCTTACCTACAAGCTATTTCCTTATAAAGTAGAAAGACTTTTAACAGACTGATTTATTTTGTGAAGTGGAAAGAAATTTCTGTGTGGGTGACTTAGCTGCTTCTTGTACTATCTACTTTAACTCTGGCTATCCTGAACTATCTTTTTTTTTTTTTTTTTTTTTTTTTTTAAGGAAACCCAAGGTGTCTTTTTATTTTGCTGAAATGCATCTAGCAGTCATCTCTGTAATCAGATGATGTAAAGTTATACTGTTACATACAAGCCCTGCAGTGATAAAATTCCTTAAGGGCCTTTCCCATCCCTTCCTACTAGCTAGAGAGAGAGTGCCTGCCAGGGACGTCTGTCTGGTTCTAGCCAATTTGATGGAGCATTTAAGCCAAGGGCAACCTGTTTTGTTTACTATCTGTCCATAAACGTGCCATGTTGGTGGCTATTAATCCACCTAGTAGAGTCATCAAAATGAAGGGCTCTTGCTTGTAGCTGTTTTGATCTAAGGACATAGGCAGGCAAGGTTCTTTGGGTTTGGGGTTCTTTTGGATCCAGACCATGCAAGGAAAAGAAATGTAAAACCTGCCAACACATCTCCACCACTCCCACAATAACTACAGAACTCCACAACACAACCATTACCATTCCTGGATCTTACACCTGTACCTCCAGAAATGTGATATATCTCATCCAGTGCAGCAAATGCCCTGATGGAAAATATGTAGAAGAAACCAAATAACAAGTGTGTACCAGAATGAACGCCCATCGAAAATCCATCAAAGACAAAAATATGCAATTACCTGTGGGTACCCATTTCTCACAAAACAATCACTTCCTCTCCAATCTCTCAGTTCTAATCCTCAAAGGGAACTTACAAAACACCTTCTGCAGATGAGCCTATGAACTTCACTTCATAAATCTAGTGGATACAAAAAATCATGGACTGAAGATAGATATTGGATTTATGTCACATTACAACCTGCCTGATATTTGACAC